TTTTGGATCCTGTTGGAATTTGAATTCAAGTCCACAGCTTTCCTTTCTGATCAGGATCTATTTATGCTTTGACCAAAATATTCCGTAGTGGTAGCTGGACACCATCCAGCTCTATGGTCTTGGTAAGGAATCAGCAGTACCCTAGACACCCAGCAAGACAACCTACAGTCTAGTTCCTTCTTTAATCTCTGGATCTCCTTCTTCACTTCTGTGGAAGGACAGAAACCAATTGATATATCACAAAGGGCCATGTACCAGTTTTGAAGATCCCAGGTTCTACTCACTGAACTAAGGAGTTCAATAGTAATTCTGAAAGCAATGTTCAGTCAATTCTACAATGTCCTATGTGTGCCTTCTAACCAAGAGATCTAATGTCAACAGGTGGCTTTCATTTACTTATGTAGTATCAACTTTAGTGTATTTTTTGTTTTGGTGTAAACAAAATAGTAACACATTCACCATTTCTCCCATAAAAGATAGTAAAAGCAGAAAAACAATACAATTTCATCAATATATGCATGAAAGTATTTAATAAATACAGCACTTTTTTTTTTCAAAAAGAAAAAACCCCTTAGAAAATATAATTGGAAAGAACATTTTTCTAAAATCTAGAAAGCCTTTGTGGTATAGTGGTTACATGTTGGGTTGCTAACCACAAGGTCAGCAGTTCAAAACCTCCAGCCACGGCACACCAGAAAGATTAGGTTTTCTACTCTTGTAGAATTACAGTCTCAGGAACTCTCGGGGAGCAGTTCGACACTGCCCTAAGGGGTCAGTAGAAAGTCCGAATCAACCTGATGACAGTGAGTTCTGGGAGTCAGGTCAGCAAAGACAATAATACACTGGAAACGAAGTAACAGCAAGTGCAGCACCCAGTGATGAACATAAAGGGGTTTTATTTTCAATGGCAACAATCAGACAGGGATGCCCAACATTGCCATTTTACATTTATTAATATACTGGCAATTATAAAGTATAAGAATTTAAATGGAAGAAATATAATTGTCACTATTTAGTTGGCATAACTGTAATGCATAATCCACTTTATACTCTATTAGAAATATAAGAGTTCAGCAAGGTTAACAGATGCAAGATTAATACAGAAAAACAGCAACACTCTCCTAAATTAGAAAATGTGATTTTAAAAACATACCACTTACTATAGCAACAAAAACTATTCGATACTTAGGAGTAAATGTAAGATGTGCATGACTTTTACATTAACACAGAATGTAGATATTCTTTGCTCTTATATCTTGGCCCCCATGCAAAAGCCTCTGGCCATTCAGATAGAGATCTCAAACATTCTCCACTTCTGACGGTCCTGGGATTTCTCTGTAATCCTGCTTCTGAAATGACTCTTATACACAGCGGAACGGCTTTGATGCAGGTGTGGGTTTTGCTTTGTAACAGACTATATATCCCCAAGGAACAGAGTGGTGGCTTGCTTTGTACTTTCTCCTAAAGTGGGACATTTAATCCCACCTTAATCCTGTCAATTAGCATAGCACAGAATTCCCTACAAAATGGGACTATAGCCATAGGTAGAGACTAGAATCATTTATGGCTAGTAGGGCCACATTAATTGACTGTATCTCAGCACTCCACTCAGTACACTCTGTTACTTATTTAAAGGTCCAATAGGGAAATTTTACCTAATCCCTAGTGCCTAAAACCTAGTCAAGTGGCTAAAAACTAACTGAAAGGAAGGTAAGAAAGTGTTTTCAGCTTAACAGCCATGTGCTCAGGTAAAATTCAGAATTTACTAGTAAGCGGAGGTGAAACAGACTGGAACAATACACAGCAAATAGTACTTGGCTCTGGAATATGAGTGAGATACAGTATTATTTGAAAAACTTTGTGTACTTAATACTAATGGAGATATTAATCTACATTGTACAAAATCTTTAAACTCCAAAAATTAGAAGTTTCTCAACCCGAGGCATGACAACGTTTAGATATTGACATCAAAACATAGGTAGAGCAGTGACCTACCCAAGGCAGAGTCAAGAGTTATGAGAAGGGGTACATTATTCTTATTGCATAATAACTTGGCAGTTTTTATAAGAAGAGACTACAAATTCCTTATAATTTATGTTTTAGATAATACAGGATAATTAGGTATGACATAATAAAACAAAAATTATATGTATGTCTAAATTCCAGTAAACTGGATGTAATTCACCCCCAAAACAGGGGGCATCATTTTTTTTATAGGTTGATGATTACAATAAGGAATCTCCTAGAAACAAAGCAGTCATTAGTTTTGACTGAAACCTTGAGTAAAATACTCATATTTAGGGTTTGACTTCTTAAAAAAAAGTCCTTTCCACTAGGAGAACTTTTCTAAGATAAAAACTCAGAGGAGGAGGATGAGAATGGTTGCACAACTTGAAGAACGGTAACAAACCACTATGGCCGGAAACTGTCTGAATTCAAGTACACTTTGCTGAGTATATTCTCAACAATAAATAGAAAAGGCTTTTTGGCCCCATTACCAACTGGG